GGTCGAATGATGTATATATTGTATCCCCTTCAATTACCACCACATGCATGGTTCCAGTGATATTCGCGCAATGTGGAAGGGAGACGTTCTCGCCGACTGCGTGCGAGGCCGTCGAGAGAAAAATAAAAAACAAAACAAAAAATAAGAAAGCAATATAAAAGAAACAGAAAAGGAAAGGAAAATAACAAAAAGAAAAGAAAACTAAAAACTAGAAAAGGAAACTAATCAAAAGAAAAGAAAAATAGCAGTAGCACTAGATTAGGGACCAGCACTATAGCTAAGTTAGCTATAGCGCTGGTTCCTAATCCAGCGGTACTACTATCTGTATTTTAGAATAAAAAAATAAAAATTGGAATAGTTAGCGGTAGCGTTGGATTACGACCCAGTGCTATAGCTAAGCTAGCTATAACGTTGGCTCCTCATCCAGCGTTACTGCTATTTTTAGTTAGCCCGGCCGCGCGGGCTCAAAATTTTGCCAAGTCGTTTCCCCCCTCTCCCACCTCTCCCCCCACTCCTCTGTAACGCGTCATTGTCGCCCCTGCCCGCCCTCGACCTCGACGCCGGCCGTCGCCCCTACCCGCCCTCGACCTCGACCCCACCGGCACCGCCCGAAGCCGCCCTCGACCTCACCGGCACCGCCCGAGGCCGCCCTCAACCTCACCGCAGTCGCCCTCTCCCTTGCCCGCCCTCGACCTCGCCGCCACCGCCCGAGCCGCCGACGACTGTAAGGCCTCTCCCTCTTCTCTCCCCTGCCCTCCTCTCTCTCTCTCTGTGATGAACCCTAGCATGTTGCTGTGATGAACCCTAGCATGTCTAGATTTGCTTAGGATGGTAGGAATTTTTTTAGCATTTAGGAAAAAAATTAGCAAATTTTTTAAGGAAATTAGCTAGGGCAGTAGCTATTTAGCTAGGGAAAATTTAGCAAATATGTTTAGGGTAGTAGCTAATGCAGTAACGAATTAGCAAATTTGTTTAGTAAATTTAGCTAATTAACTAATGCAATAGCTAATTAGCAAATTTGTTTAGCAAATTTAGCCAGGGAAAAATTGTTTAGAAAATTAGCTAGGACAACGTTTTATGAAAATGCCTATCTTTAAATAAAAATAGTAGCATTTAGCTAGGGCATTTTTAGCAAATTTTCCCCAGTCCATGCAGCGGTCAATGCAGCTGTAGCTGGCGTCACGACTGACTTCACATCTTCCATTATTACCAGCTTGATTTCGGCAATTATCGATTGGACGAAGAACAATCCAGATAAAGGGCCAACGGACTTTCCCCTTCCCAGCTACGTCGGGAGCAATTCGGTGAACATCGCACCACCAGCACCTGCCCACGCAACCGCACAAGGTCCCTCTCCTATTTATAGCAGCCCGTCTGTCTCTGGCGTGCTCGGTGGGGCTTCGTCTTTGGTTGAGCTCTACGCCCTCATGGTAATTACGCGCCATACCCTCTTCACCAGCATGTCTATAGTCTTCCATTTCAGTTGCCTTTCGTATGTTTGACATCGCAGACATGTCTTCGCAGGCCGACGAAACCCCGTGAACCCTACTGCACGACATCAACAAACAGAAGGTGGGTATGGGAAAGGCAACGATTGTGAAGCCGAAGGACCACATGTTGCACAACCGAGAGATGCCCCATGGCGTCTTCAAGGTTAGCGTGGCTAATGTCAAAGCGGGCTTCGAGGATTTGCCTTGTGGAAGGTTGCATTAAAGCAGCAGATGCTTGTAAACCGGAGGTGCCTTATTATTTTGGTAGTACTTCTTATTTTGGTCTTTGTGATATAGGATCCTCTATTAATGTTATACCTTACACTCTTTATATACTAAGCTTCATGATGAAGTTTATGCTTGTGACTTGCAGCCAACTGATATGAAAATTAAATTGGCACATGGTACCCAAAGGTGACATTATGGGATGGTTTCATTTTAATTGGTGATTAGCAAGGGCACGGTTGGGGGGGGGGGGTTATTAGTAGGAAAGTTTCGTCGGTAGTTTTAAATAGATTGCTTCGTAGGTGTAGCATTTTTTGTCTTACCTGATACAATAAAAAATGTGTTAGTTTTGGAACAAGGTGACCATCAATAATAGCAGCTTCTGCATTTGAGTATATGCTCTGAACACCAATTATATATAACAAAACAAAAGTACAAAACTATATGCTTCTTGCAAGGCACATCAAACAAAAGGAATATAATGACTAAGCGTGTGGTCTTCACTAACATATTTGAGAATCAAGCTACTCCTACATTCTTCTAAGACATGCCTTGTACCTATCTTTTATTATTGAGTGTGTACTTGGCGGTATTCAAGGCAAGTTGTTCCCCAACTAACATCGAATTTTTTAATTATTATTGAGCTGCATCACATTATTCCTCAAGTAACAATGGTGTCCTATGATAATATCAGGTGTCTACATGTCAGCCAACCCTATGCAGCATCGACGAACTATGCACATTGAGATTGCTGACATATTTACAAAGGGGCTCTCGGTCAAGTTCGTGTACTCCATGCTTGTACTACATCGGAGTTTGCTGACATATTTACAAATGGGATCCGAACTACAGCTTTCACAGACTGTATTGTACTCAGCATTGCATCATTGCGCTCATCACTGTATTGTCTGTTGTAGCGCGCTCCACCTCAGTTGTATCTGCCGTTAGTCCTTGCACCACTTATATACGGCAGCCTCACGAATGACTGAATCAAGCTTTCCAGTATTTAGTTCCTCTCTTTTTTGATGGAGCATTCAGTTCCTCTCATTTAACATGGACGTCACTATTCGTTCACTGCTCAGAGCGAGATCGGACAGGTGATTTGCAGGTTCACGAGTGTCTATCCCTTGTGGATTCAAGTCAATCAGCAGCAACAGCACACACACTGTTCGCATGTGAAGAACCGCATGCTTATGCACAGATCCAATTATGGAGACCCAATCATGACCACCTGCTTGAGAAGAAGAGAATCAATCAGCTAGTACCCTCACGAAGCAGAAGATCGGGCTCCCAGAAACAAATAAGAAAAGAAAAAACGACATCATTTACCATAAGTGAAACATAAGCAATGAGTATGTGTATAGCCGTAGGGACCTCACATACTCACTAGCTTTTACAGTGTGATCATGTAGTTAGCCTCCCTGCGAATCCATGAAATGGGAGCAAGAGGAAGACGACGGTAGCCTCAGTTACGTTGGGGAGCGAGGCTGCCAAGGTCACGGGCCATTCTTTATATGCAGTGAGCCCCAACTAATTTATGTGTGTTGTCCCACCTGCCACATAACTTTTATATTATTTTTTTCAAGAGGAGGTTAAACCCTCGGGGTCTGCATCATCTTGATGCACACAACCATTTATACGTGACAAAACCACCAACTACATACTTGGCTATAAATTGCCACCTTCACTCTTTCATTTCCTCACCAAACACAATCAATCCTGCCTTGATTGCTTAGCTTTAGCTCCTCACACATCCCATAGCCATGGCCGCCACTGACCCTTCCTACTACCAGAGTGGTGTTTGCCAATCCATCACACAGAAGCAGCATCTCTTCCACTTATACATGAACCAGATTGCCGAAGGAACCCCAAATGCCAACCAAAAAGTCATTGTGAATCCAGGTCTTCCTATGGATTTTGGTGTAACCGTTGCAAATGACTGGACCATAAGCGATGGTCCAGCCGCCAATGCAAACCCTATCGCACGTGCTCGTGGCATGCACATGGGTGATGGTAAAGCCGACGTAAACTGGTTATTCTGTCACAATATATTGTTTACTGATACCAGGTTGGTTTGCCACCCTTTTGAGATGTTAGGGTCTAAATTAGCTTATGTTGTATCTATATCTTTTTGTGCTAAATTTTGTGATTTCCACTTCACTTATTAGGTTTAAGGGGTCCAGCCTTAAGGTTCTTGGAGACTTTGTAGCCAACAAAGATAGTGAATGGGCAATTGTAGGTGGAACTGGAGAATTTGCATATGCACAAGGTGTTGTCGTCGCCAAAGTAATCCAAAATATACAACCTACTCCCGGGCGTACTTGGGAGCTTCGTATCAGTGCTTTCTGTCTGTGCATCCCCAACGTGGTGAGATACATTTATCATTAATTGTTTTTCGATGTTAAGTACGCAAATATGGTATAAAAATAGCACCTCACTTGGTAACTTGGAATTACACAAATATTATTGTTTTTATGATATTCTATGTCGCTTGATCACCTATGCCTAGACCCCAGTGAACAAGATGGGACCTTGGGGAGCAGACGGAGGGACATCGTTTGACATCACAGAGCTGCCTCGTTCTCTTCAAACCGTGACAATTCGATGTGGAGACGTGATTAACTCAATTGGGTTTTCGTACACTGATCAAGCTGGTCAGAAGAAAATTGCTGGACCGTGGGGTGGTGATGGTGCACTTAGTGTGGCGGTGAGTCATTCTTTTTGGATTATTTCAATGTAATTTCTTCTTCAATGTTTTCTGCCAAATAACTTTAATCTCACACCCTGTACATGTACTGAGTTTAAATTAAAGTGCCATATGGTGACGCACTCTTCTCTTGCAGATCAAGCTTGCTCCTTCCGAGTTCATAAAGCAAGTTCTTGGAACAACTGATGCAGTTGGAGGAGTGACTGTTGTTACATCACTTACTTTGGTCAGCAGCATCACGACATATGGGCCTTTTGGAAAAGCAAATGGCGCTCCTTTTTGCAGCCAGGTTCCAGATAGTAACACTATTGGGGGGTTCTACGTGCGTGCTGGGGAGTCTGTTAATGCACTTGGAGTTTACGCGTGCCCAATTTAGCACAGTGCATGTGCTACGTGGCATGAGAATCTTCATGGCTCTGGTTGATGACTCGCTTCTATTTCCACTATTCCAACAATGGAGAAGGATTGTCCTTGTCGTGATCTTGTGTACTATTTATTTTCCTTCTCATTATGTGTGCTTTCCTCTCTTTTTTTTTGCGCGGGTTATGTGTGCTTTCCTCTATTGTGTACACGTGCTTCCTTCAAAAATAAATGATATTCTCTCCAAGAAATTGATGATAATTCGATCCCTCTCTGTTATGCATATATTAAGTAAAGTTAGATGAACGATTTTTGAAAAATCATAGACGTAACTTCTACCATCAGAAAAAACTGTAGCATGCATTAATGGTCAAATCCACAACATCAGGATGGATACAATTCGAGGAGGCAAGGACGTGGTCATCAATGTGGACATAATTCTAGTTGCCGGGGAGGCGTCAGGGGCATGTCGAATCATCCTTTGGCAAGAGGGATTGAACCTTTAACTTGCTGAGAAACTGTCGGCACACTACTAAAATTACACCCTATGCCGAGTGATGTCTAACTGGCTGGCCGAGGAGAGGTTGGCTGCCGTCGCTCGGAGCTGTTCTGCGACCCAGGCCCATCCCTGTTGCACATTCTCAGCCTTCCACCAAGACTGCTACTCCACCACGGCAGAGTCGACGGCACCCGGTGGATGCAGAGGGAGCGACAACAACGGACGAGGATTCACTGTCAAAGGCAATGCATCTTAAGGCGTCATATAAATCTTTCTGTCTTTTTCGTCCCCGCAATTGTCTTCTAAATTGTCTAGCATAGGCATGGTTTTGGGTAACAACGAGAAAGAAGTTAATGTGTCGACTAAAGCTCTGAGACATATGGAGTATGACCGTGTAACGGTAACACCTAAAATCTTGGGCAAGTCGGACAACTCTCAACTAGAGGATGAGGATGTGGATGCCACAATTGATGGTCATCTTCTCTCTCATATAGTTGGTGAGGTGTCGGAGGTAGTTTTATATGTGGCTGGGATAAGTTCCTTGTATGAACTCAAAGCATCTGGCCGTAAATCTAAATCTTCTCGTAGAAAGAAGTGCCAGTCGCCTTGTAAAAAGGCGAAAGTGTCTAAATCTCCAAATGTTTCCCAATGCATGGCCTGATTTTGAATAGCAGAGGTCTTCGTGACTTGGCTAAACATTTACATATCGCTGGATGTTCTAAGGATCATAAGTTGGATTTTTTTGGCCATTTCTGAAATGGGAAAACGAGATTTCTTGGTGAGTTTACTTAACCGCCTTTCTGGCGGCATAGCTTTCTCGTGGGTGTCTCGTCCACCACGTGGCAGATCTGGGGGCATATTACTTGGCGTGAGAATGGAGACCATGGAAGTGTTGGCAAGTTCAGATGGAGAGTATCATACTAAACTCCATATCCGCAACAAAGCTCATAACTTTACATGGACTCTTGTCGCCATGTATGGTGCAGCCCAGGAAGAATTTAAAGCTGATTTTCTTTGTGAATTGGTTAATCTGGCAAAGGACAACCCATATCCTATTCTAATAGGAGGAGATTTTAATTTGCTAAGATTTCCTCACGAGAAAAGCAAAGGCAGGTTCGACGATCACTGGCCTTTCTTATTCAACATTGCCATTGACGGACGATTTAAGAGAGGTTTCCATGACAGGAAGACAGTTCACTTGGGCAAACAGTCTTCCAAAATTGACATACGAGAAACTAGATCGCGAGCTTATTGATACTGAATGGGAATCAAAGTTCCCTATGGTAACAGTGTGGGCGCTAGAATGTAATCGAGGCTTTGTCGGATCATGTCCCGATCCTTATAACCACTGGTTTGCCTAGACCTAATTGTAGACGCCAATTCAAGTTTGAACTTGGATGGTTACATCGCGATGGTATCCATGATATGCTGAAAAAGGTGTGGGTAAGATCTGTCTCGGGTTAGACCCCAATTCAAAGATAGAATAACAAAATGTGTGCCTATGCAGATTCCTAGGAGGATGGGCTAGACATAGGTGTGGTATCTTGACAACGAAAAAGCTTCAGTTGTCATCTATCGTTGATGAGTTAGAGGCCCTTGCAGAGGAACGACCACTATCCGTGCAAGAAATTGAGCTAAAAAGCCAATCAAGTGCACTTATTGCAAATGGTACCAACGATCAAACGCTCAATTTATCATGGAAGGAGATTCGAACACAAGTTACTTTCTGGGTGTCGCTAACGGAAGATATCAGAAGGAACTTATTCATTCTCTTGTACATGATGAGGGTACGATCGAGGACCATGAGCAAATAAAATTGTACACTACCAATTACTATAAAGTTTTGTTTGGTGCACCAGAAGAAGGCAACTTCTCCCTGGATGAGTCCCGAACAGTGGATATACTGTCATGGTTCTAAGTCTGACAGTAGTGTAGGGGGGTACTAAAGGAGAGGCAAGATCTTAGCTATGGAGTAGCTGTACACGCAAGGATTTTACGAGTTCAGGCCCTTCTCGGAGGAAGTAACAGCCCTATGTCTCGGTGCCCGGAGGCGGTCGACTGGATTATATGCTTATGTGTTACAGGGATGCAAACCCTTCTGCCTGTGGAGGGGGGTGGCTTATATAGAGTGCGCCAGGACCCCAGCCAGCCCACGTAGCAGAGAGTTCAATGTACATAAAGGCCTGGCGTTACTGGTAACGTCTTACATAAAGTGATATCATAGCCATAAAGACTACTTAATAACAGACCATTTGGATGCAGAATGACCCTAGATCTCCTGGTGGTCGAGTGAGTCTTCATGGTCGACTGTCTTCGAGTCCGTCAAGTGTAATCCTTCCAGGTCGACTGAAAGACAGTTTCTTCTAGAGGTGTCCTTGGGGAGGGTACCTTGGACAGGCCCATGATCCTACCCTAGGTACGTGGCTTCATCATTAGCCCCCGAATGGATCAAGGTTTGAGTGAGGAAGGAGTTGAGAATTCTTCTGACCTGCTTTTCGTGCTGCGAGAGTGTCTTACTCTGGACCAATGACTTTTTAGGGATGGTGTCAACTTCTCTTTCAGTCGCCTTGATCCATTCTTTGCATTGGCCGAGTGAACTTTACGAACTTGGGGATTTTCGGGCGACGGATCGGAGGAAATCTGCTGTCTGACAAGTTGCTTGGCTACTCGCGGATTTGACGGGATCCGAATTTCGGGAAGCGCGCGAAGCGGAGAAGGCCGCGACACTCGGATGGGATAAGGCAAAGACACCTCGATCTCCACGCCATCTTTTTCGCCACGTATCGCGTGCGTGCCTGTTGCGGGATTTGACAGGATCGTCCGGGCCTACCAGTCAGCCACTCGGAATAGACTCCATATAAGGCGTCGGACGGGTTTTTTTCGAACAGACCATTTGGATGCAGAATGACCCTAGATCTCCTGGTGGTCGAGTGAGTCTTCATGGTCGGCTGTCTTCGAGTCCGTCGAGTGTAATCCTTCCAGGTCGACTGAAAGACAGTTTCTTCTAGAGGTGTCCTTGGGGAGGGTACCTTGGACAGGTCCATGACCCTACCCTAGGTACGTGGCTTCATCATATACCCCAGGTTTCTGTTGAGGAAAATAATCTTCTTACAAATCCCTATACCGAGGAGGAAATAAAGAAGGTGGTTTTCCAAATGGAATACAACAAAGCCCCAGGGCTGGATGGCTTTCCAGCTGAGTTCTACCAGCACTTTTGGGATGTCATCAAGTTGGACCTGTTAGAACTATTTGGCTACTTTCATGCCGGACAGTTAGATCTGTTCCATCTAAATTTTGTATAGATAACTTTACTACCTAAGGTTAATGAGGCAGAAGGATACAACACTATAAACCTATCTGCCTCCTTAATGTTAGGTTCAAATTTTCATGAAAATCGCTACTCTTAGGCTGAATTCGATGGCCGATCATGTGGTTTACCCTTCACAAACTGCTTTTATCAAGCAAGAAACATCCTAGATGGAGTTGTAATATCCTTCATGAAACAGTTCATGAACTACGCAGGAAAAAATTGAATGGGGTTATTTTCAAAATTGAATTTTGAAAAGGCTTATGACAAAGTCAAGTGGTCTTTTCTCTAGCAGACTCTCATAATGAAAGATTTTGTGCAGAGTGGTGGGCTCTCATCCAATGTTTCGTCTCTAGAAGTAGCGTGGCCATCAAAGTGAATGATGATGTTGGCAGATACTTCCAAACCAAAAAAGGATTGAGACAAGGCGACTCAATATTACCAATACTATTTAACATAGTGGCCAGTATGTTAGCTATCATGTTTGAGCACACAAAAATTGAGGGTCAAATTGACGGGTTAGTTCCTCATCTAGTTGATGATGGACTTTCTATCCTGCAATATGCCTACGATAGAATTCTCTTGACGGAACATGACATCGAAAAAGCAAGAAATCTAAAAATAGTTCTGTCAACCTTCGAGCAACTGTCGGGTCTTAAGATAAATTATCGGAGACTTACAAATACTGAATGGAAACATGTCGAGGAGAGACTGCAAAAACGTTTCAACAGTTGGAAAGGAAAATTGCTATCTCTGGCGGGTAGATTAGTCCTCATAAATTCAGTATTCCGTAATATGGTACAGTATATGATATCATTCTGCCTATTGCCCAAAGGGGTCTTACAACGTCTAGATTATTTCTGATCAAGATTCTTTTGGCAAGGTGATCGTCAGAAGAAGAAATATCAGCTGGCTAAATGGAGTGTGGTTTGCCGTCCCAAAGATGTGGGCGGCTAGGTATTCCTGGCCTTGAGGTCAAAAATACAGCCCTGTGTATAAATGGCTTTTTAAGTTACTTACCGAACATATTGTGTGGCAAACCCTCCTGAAAAGAAAATATATAGGCTCAAATGCAATACCCCAAGTTAGTTGGAAACCTAGGACTCGCACTTTTGGGCTGGTCTAATGGCTACGAAGAAACACTTCTTCGGTTTTGGATCATTTTCTATTAAGTATGGTTCCGAAATTCGTTTATGGGAGGATACGTGGT